AAACTCACGCGTTCCCCACCTGTTTCCACTAAGAAAAGGGCGAGAAAAACGTGATTTCGGATTTGTCAGTGTCTTGGTCCGGGGCTGACCAACTCTTGGTCAGCCGGACCAAGACTCGTCAATGCCGACACTCCGCGTTAGCCCGATCCGGCGGACCAAGATCCCGGTCCGCCGGACCAGCCGAGTCCGGACCTGCCAACCCTGAGTCCGCCTGTTGTCTGGTCCGCCGGACCAACATTTGGTCCGCCGGACCAGACTAGTCCGAACCATCAGTCCGAGTCCGGGCTGACCTGCCGGTCCGCCGGACCAAGCCTGGTCAGCTCCAGACCGGACCTGATTTTTCGGACTTGTCTCCAGATCACTGTTCTCGTCTGGTCCGCCGGACCAACTCTTGGTCCGGTCCGGACCAGACTCAGATTTCCCGGAAAAATCCAATTTTTCCGTCCAATCTTTTCCCGTCCGTGTATATCCATCCCTTATGTGTGTGACCCTTTAGGCTCCTCCGAATACGGCAGTAAACACGAGATCCAATCTCGCTTTACAAATCTTAAGCGTTCTCTAGCAAGACATTATGTTTACCCGTATCGGAAAGAGTTAGATGTGATCTAACCGAAAAGCCAGAGATAGCTCCGACGATGATCCTCTTTGTCTCACGATATCATAATCGAACTCATAGTTCGAATGCTTTGTTGTATCCCGAGTAGACTGTAAGAGATAGATGACATTCATCTATGGTGCGGCCGCACATTTCTACAGTCCTACTCCTACGACGGGCCCAAGCGATATCTCTCTCTTTTGAGAGGGACAAAGTTCCATCTTGACTATCTACTATCCATTACATGATTCATAATGTACCCGAGCCACGCCTTTATAATCATCCGGTTAAAGATGACGTTTGACGCAGTCAAAGTACATTACTCGTCATGATGGATACAATAGATATCTCAGGTCTGAGGATCTAAAGTGAACCATCAAGTGAGATTCAAGTCATGGATTATATCCAATAGACAATCTCACGCGAGTCATCCAGTTACTTGTTCCAAACAAGTACTCATGACCGTGATCCGTATCCAATACACATGATCATCATCATGATCATCCATCACGCCTCATGTTAGTCTTAATTCATCATTGTTCCCACAATGACAAACGACTAAGGAATTTAGGATCGTTCGTAACGATCCAGGGATTATCATTATTTATTAAATATGCAAAATAAATAATGAATAAATAATGTATTCATCCAATAAATACATCGTATCATACATAGTTCTCATATCGTATGATCATCCTAGAGCATTACATCCTTCAACTTTCACAAGAAGTTTCACAAGAGACGCAAGAAGCATGAGGCAGAGTTTCACATACGCGCTTGCATTTCTTTGCACACTCTTCCTTTGTCTTTTGGATTTCTTTTCCTATAATTTATGCAGTCACCGTCAAAGTTATGATTTTGTGTCGTATACATCATGAAACGTTTATCCTCAAATTCATTCATACACTATGAAACATTTACGTAAAGATGGTGGTGTGGTATATAATACTCATTTACAAGCATTTATAATGGTGTATGAGAACTATCCTTTTGTATTTTATGACTATCACATATAATTTTATATTTGACAATTGAACTTAATTTAATATTTGGTGATATATTAATTTATTTATTTATGGAATCTAATAATATATTAGTAAAGATTTTAGAAACAAGAGGTAACTCACTTGAATGATCATCCAAGAGTAAAGCACTACCACTTTCACAAGAAGTCTCACAAGAGACACAAGAAGCATGAGGCAGAGTTTCACATACGCGATTGCATTCCTTTGCACACTCTTCCTTTGTCTTTTGGATTTCTTTGCCTATAATTTATTCAGTCACCTTCAAAGTTATGATTTTGTGTTGTATACATCATGAAACGTTTATTCTCAAATTCATTCATACACTATAAAACATTTACGTAAAGATGGTGGTGTGGTATATAATACTCATTTACAAGAATTTATAATGGTGTATGAGAACTATCCTTTTGTATTTTATGAATACCACATATAATTTTATGTTTGACAATTGAACTTAATTTAATATTTGGTGATATATTAATTTATTTATTTATAGAATCTAATAATATATTAGTAAAGATTTTAGAAACAAGAGGTAACTCACTTGAATGATCATCCAAGAGTAAAGCACCACCACTTTCACAAGAAGTCTCACAAGAGACACAAGAAGCATGAGGCAAAGTTTCACATACGCGTTTGCATTCTTTCGCACACTCTTCCTTTGTCTTTTGAATTTCTTTGCCTATAATTTATGCAGTCACCACCAAAATTATGATTTTGTGTCATATATGAAACGTTTATCCTTACATTCATTTACACACTATAACATATTTACGTAAAGATGATGATGTGGTATGATAATGTTCATTTACAAACATTCATAATGGTGTGGGAAATGTCATTTTTGTATTGTATGACAATTGAATTTAATTTAATATGTAATACGTTGATTTATTTATTTATGCATCTAATATTATATTAGTAAAGGTTTTAGAAGCGAGAGGTAACTCACTTGAATGATCATCTAAGAAAGAAGCACCACCACTCTCACAAGAAGTCTCGCAAGAGACGCAAGAAGCATGCGGCAGAGTTTCGCATACATTCTTGCATTCTTTCGCACATTCCTCTTTTGTCTTTTGACTGTCTCCTTTTATGATTTGTGCAGTCACCACAAAAACTATGATCAACCATGTCAAACTCGACCTGATCGCCATTTTCTTTTTATTATGATCTCTAGACTCAAAATCAGATTTGAATTGAGATAGTTTATTGATTTTGGTTTGTTTTGTTTTGCCCTACGATAATCGTCTATTTATAGATTTTAATAGTTGGATATATGGTATAGTGATTTCTATGGATTTTTGTTCCACGTGAAATTACTCTTTTTGGTTTTGTGGCATGATTGATATTGGAATCTTTTTTCATTTATTTGAATTGAATTGATAGGAGATCTTATTTATGCATTTTTTTATATTGATATGGTATAGCTAGATTCATGCTGTAAATGTCATTTTTTTTATTGACTATGGATTTCTAAGGGTTTCTGTTCCTTTTTAATTGATATGAAATTACACTTTTTTGTTGTTATGTTATGGTATGGTCGATATGGGAACCCCTATTTATATTGATTTGAATTGAATTGATTAAAGATCCTATTTATGAAATTTTTTTTATATTGGCATGGTAATGCTATAGATGTCATTTCTTTGAATTGACTGTCGTTTGGTTTGGTTTGATTTGGTATGCATTTATTTAAATGGGAAACAATATTTTAGGTATACATTTCAAATATTTTATTCACTACGCTCAATAATAAATAAAAATAAATGACTTATGATGTATTTATTTTATTTCTACTCACAGCAAATCAGCAAAATGGGTGCGAATATATGGATAGATGAAATTACCGACCGAATGTGAATTAAAATCTAACATATATATATTTTTAGAAAATGAACAAGTAATAAGTCTAACATGTTTGCCCCAAATTAACGAATGTGACCCATGGAAACCAATTAAATAAAATATATGTTAGATTTTATTATTAATATTACATTTTATTATTAAAATAAACATAGAAGATAATAATAATAATAATAATAATAATAAAATAATAATAATAATAATAATAATAATAATAATAATAATAATAATAATAATAATAAATATAATAATCTAACATATTTTTTTGGAAAATATATGTAAATTAAAGTAATTTGATTTATAAACATAGATTATAATGCATATATAAATTTATAAACATAGAAAAAAAAAATAGATTAAAAATTGGAAAAAATAAAAAAATATCTGAACTAGTCAATTTTCACAAAATAAAATTTAAACTTTGTATTTTACCAAATAAAATCTCAATTTGATTCTTGAGTTATAAATAAATCAAACTTTATAATATTTATCATTTTTAAACTCATCATAGAAATATGTGAATAATGACGTGTTATATATAATCAAAGTATTGATGTGACACATGCGATATCGATACGTCGTATCAACATTTAGATTTAAAAATGATAACGATTTATTTAAGCCATTTCTCTCGGAGTATAAACTTTTGGATCTTTCCCGTGGCGGTCTTGGGAAGATCCTCCACGAACTCCACGTCCCTTGGAACCATATACGAGGGCAACTTCTCCTTACAGTGGTCCCTTATCTCCTTCTCATTCACCTTCCCGCCACGACCGTCCTTCAAGCACACGAACGCGTACGCAACCTCTCCCCAAAAGCTGTCGGGCCTAGCGACCACCGCGGCTTCCTTCACGTTTGGATGCATGCACAACACGGTCTCGACCTCGATGCTGTTGATGTTCTCTCCCCCGCATATGATCACGTCCTTGGATCGGCCCTTGATCTCAATGTAGTTGTCCTCGTGTATCACCCCAAGGTCGCCCGTGTAGAACCAACCGTCGCTCTTCATGCATTCGGCTGTACCTTCAGGGTTCTTGTAGTAACCAAGCATCATGCCCATTCCACGAACAACGATTTCTCCCTGTGAAACCCCGTCGTGTTTCAGGCTCTCCCCTGTCTCTGGGTCGATCACGTCGACTTCCGAAATTCCTAGAGTACGGACTCCTTGTCTCGACTTCAGTCGAGCTCTTTCCATCGCGTCTAGGACGTTCCACTCGGGCTTCCACGCGCATGACGTCATCATTCCTCCGACCTCCGTCATACCATACCCATGACTCACATCAAAACCGAGTGATTCGTATTCCGAGATTTTCTTCGGTGAGGAACCTCCGGTCATCACCCGAACCGGTTTCTTGAGCGGTCTCTCCTTCCGATGAATCACAAGCCTGTTTAGTAGCTCAGGCGCGGCACACATGTGGGTCACGTCGTGCTTCTCCATCAAATCGAAGACCTCTTGTGATACATCGGGCCTACGCATGCAGACGTTCTTCCCTCCTACGGCCGCCATTCCCCACGTGTAGGTCCACCCGTTTGCGTGGAATATTGGTAAGGTCCAGAGGTATACCGGTCGGTTCGGTACGGACCAGTCTATCAATGAACTTATAGTATTTATGTAAGCCGCTCTGTGACTAAGCAATACTCCCTTCGGAGAAGAGGTCGTGCCGGAGGTGTAGTTGAGCACCATCGGTTCCTGTTCGTTCCTGGGTCGAACCCATTTGAAACTCGGATCTCCTGACTCCATCAAGCCCTCGTACGTGCCGATGAAATTCTCGTCATCCAACTTTGCGTTCCCGTCGTCATCGTCGTGGAGGAGGACGAGAAGTGGCGCCCTCCCCCCCTTCTTGCGTAATATCTCGACGGCTTCGAGGACGAGAGGTTTGGATTTGTGGTCGACGAACACAAGCTTGGATCCGCTATGGTCGAGGAGGACGGAGAGGGCGTTGGCGTCCAGGCGGGGGTTGATGTTATTGAGGATAGCGCCGGACATCGGGACGGCGAATTGGAGCTCGTAGACCGATGGGACGTTGGGACCGACGACGGAGACTACTTGGCCTTTTTGGATAGCGGCGGTGGAGGAGACGGAGGAGCGCATGCGGAGGCACCGACGGTAGGTCTCCGACCATGTTGTCGGAGTGGCGGTGTGGACGATGGAGGGGGAGTCTCCATAGGCGGTAGCGGCTCGTTCCAAGAAGCCGAGGACGGTGAGTGGTGCTGAGTTTGATGGGTGTGGGAGTAGGAGATCCATTTCTTCAATAAATTTTGTTTTGTTTTTTTTAATACCAAAGTCTTTCGGTTTAGGGTTTATATAACAGCTAAACCAAATGCAAAAAGAAAATTGGGAAAGAAATCATAATTTTTTTTTTCACAATTTGGTATGTCAACTTTAAGACACTTGGTTTAATTAATATAGTATAGGTGTATTACGTTTTATTATTTCTGAGTTTTATGAAAACCATTCAAACCATATCAATCGGATCTGTTAGAAATACGTCGGTCAAACATTATAAATTTTTTAAAAATGGTACGTAGATAAATAAACAAATTAAAAATACAAATTACTTGAAAGTGGTTAAAATTTCTTATGGTTACCAATAAATTTATCGGACTGTAATGACGAAAATTGAAATAGCTTGTCGAAGCTCCCATGCACATCAACAACAAGAAAAAAATCGTCATAAGAAGTAATCGTTACAAAAATAAAAAAACAAAACATTTACACATGCATATGTATTTATATATATACAGACACCTTTACACATATAGATACTTATACACACATATACAAAAATACAAAAGCTATATATAGACATATTTATACACATGTATACACATATATATATACATACATACACAAATACATAACACATGCATATCCGCATATTTTTGTACAACATATATATACATTTATACACACATATACATATATAGGTAAATATATAAGTCTGTATGCATGTATGTTTATATGTTTATATATACGTGTATAAGTGTGAATACATACGTTCGACTCCTTGCTAACGCATCTATCGCCTGTCAGTTACGGCTGATTCACCTCCCACGCGTGTGTTGCAGGCTCGTGCGTGTGGGCTTGTGTTTACTCGGTCAGCGCGCCCGGATGGTAGCAGCCGAGGTTCCCAATGTATCAAAAAAAAATGTGAATACATACATATAAATATACAAATATATATATATATATATCAATGTGTATATGTATGTTACGTTTATATATATATGTACGTAAATATATGTGCATATATATATATATATATATTTATAGATGCATATTTTCGTATATGTATATATGTATATACTTATCTATGACATCTGTATCAACCTATATATATATATATTATATAAGTATACATATACAATTTGTTTTTTCATTTTTACTCCTTTGGTAATCCTTCCTTTGATGTGACATTTCTTCGCTAATCTGACAGTGAAATGAGATTTATTTACATCAAAATTTCGGTGAACCACATCAACTCCAATCCAATTGTGATATTGGGTTAAACTATTAACGTCAGTAAGGTAGTAAAAAAATTAAATAAATTTTAGATAATTCATCATTTTTCTAATATTTTCTGGTTCGTGTATTTATCATTTATATTTAACAATAAATAATGCTGCTAAATAGAAATTTAAAAAATTACATGTTGATGTATTTATACCGCAATGATATATGCAACTTTCATTGACTTTTTTATATAGTGACGTATGACGCACCAGGTCAATTAAGGACATGAAATTACTAAAGGTTCGAAGCAATCTATATATATATATATATATATGAGAACACGAAACCAAAGCAAACCCATGAAAATATTCCTTTATCAACCTAAAAATAGATACTATGTAACTTTATTGCATTGGAACTGTGGACCCATTTTTTTTAAGTAATTTTTTCGGAGAACGGATTAATATTTGTTCGTAATTACCAAACGTATAACATTCCCTTACGCTTGGCGCCAACGAGTTTTTTATTTTTGAGAAAAAAGACTATGCCTTAGCCATAGAAAATATGAATTGGTGGTGCATGGCTGTCGTCAACTCGTGTCGTAAGGTATTGGGTTAAGTCCCGCAACGAGCGCAACCCTCGTATTTAGTTGACACTGTTGAGTTCGGAACCTGAACAGACTGTCGGTGAGAAGCCGGAGGAAGATGAGGATGACATCAAGTTAGGGGTATCAATCGGGCGGGTCCGGCCCGATCCGGTCCGAGTCTACACTCGGCTCAGAAGTTTTGGACTCGGGTTTGGGCCAACCCGATTTTTTCGGGCCTATATAATTAAACCCGAAGTCCGACCTTATGCATTCTGGGCTCGGGTCGGGTCGGGCCGGACCGCGGACCTTCCTTTATAAATATTATTTTTTTCTTTAATTTTTGGGCTTTCGGGCCGGCCCTACTCGAGCACAAAGCCCGATCTGAATCCGGTCCGAAAGCTCGATTTTTTTGGACTAAGAAACTTCGATCCGAAGTCCGCTATTTTTCGAGATGGACCGGGTCACGCTTCGGACCTCGAGCCCAAATTAACACCCTACGTCAAGTCATCATGCCCTTATATGCTGGGCGACACAGGTGCTGGATATGCAGGTCAAAACAATACGTTTATATAAAATAAATTTGCATGCCTATCTTTGTTTGTGTATATGTGTCTATATATTGATATTATACTTATCGAAGTATTTTTCTGTCATAAAAAGAAGTAAACAAACCCGAATCAAACAATCAGAAACAATCAAACTAAATCAAACCAAATAAAAATTAAGCTGATATAATTGGTGATATATTCGTATCATATATATACATGTATATATATGTATAAGTGTATATACACACATGTGTATATATGTGAAATTGGTATGTATATATATGTATAGGTGTATATAAACGTATGTATATATATTTATATGTTTAATACATGAATTTGGTGCATTACGTGTTATAATTTCTGAGTTTTTGTGAAATCATTCAAACGATATCAATACGGTCAATTAGAGTTGGTAAAAATTATAACAAAAGTTGATTATTTAAAGGAATTGAAAGTAAATTAGTTTTGATGTATTTATACCACAAAAATGGAATATGCAAATTTGCATTGACATATACATACATATATATATGTATGTATATATAATTATGAAAGCAGTTTTTCTAATAATAGGGAAGTTTACCTAGCCTTCCAACTACACGTCTCCGAGGCCTCGATTAGGTAATTACCATGTATGATGTCCCCTCCCAAAATATAGGAAAACAATTTCTATTTATTTTTAAATAAAAATCATTACCGAATAAGAATAAATAAACAAATTAAAACAAAATAAATATATATAAACAGTATATATATATATTTATATAATCACTTATAGGTGTATACAAACGTCTGTTTACATATATAGTTTTTAATTAAAATAAAAATGTTTTAAATATTATTATAGTATTGATGTAGATGGTATGTCATTTTATCTCATGGTATATCATTTTTTTTGTGAATGGAAAAATATTTGATGCCTAATTGATGTAGGTTTATGTCACTTTTGTTATATAATTTTGTGGCTGTATGACCGATTCTTCGCATAAGATATAAGGTCAAATGTAAGGAGTGTCAGCGTAACTTTGTAGAACGGTCGAAGAATTAATATAATCCCTTTTTGAACGATATACCTTATTCTTGCAAAAATAATAATCAATCGATATTCAGACAATAAATGTAGTGTATTGTATTATAATTTCTAAGATATATAAAAGAATTTAAATGATATAAGTATGATCAATTTGAATCAAGTTGGTTAAATTATTCAAAGAAATGGAAAAAATATATATTGATATTTTGTAACGCAATGAAATATGCAAAGTTGCATTGATTTTGGTGAAATATTGAAATATGGCGCACCGGGGTCATGCAGAGAAATGACTGAAGTTACCCAAAAAATCCAAAGTTATATATATATATCAAAACAAAAACATATACATAGATTAATATATAGATCTATATTATCATATATATATATTGTTTTTAATTAATCAGAATAATGTATAAAATATTATTTTATGTTCATGTAGAATATATATGGTACTGCGCTTTATCTCTTGACATGCATTTATTTATGATTGAAAAACTATTTGGTAAAATATGGAAAGTTTAATGTATTTACACGTTGAATTATATATATCATTTTGATGCATATTTTTTGTAAGTTCCTTATATAATTTATGTTTGTATGGCCGATTCTTCACTATAAAAATTTAAAGTCAAATGTAAGGAGTTTCCGCTTATATCATTAGAACACGTCAACCTCTATTAGAATATTAATGCCTAAAATTGACGGTAGCAATATCTTTTGTAGAACGGTCGAAGAATTAATATAATACCTTTGTTTTATTTAAATATACCGTTGTGAACTTGTTTCTTAACAAAATAATAATATTATTGTATATAACAAGACTATAATTTTGATTATTTCCTCCGTAAATTAGGTTTTTGAGATCTATATGATAATTAAGATTTTGACAGATTTTTATAAAATACAAACTCTCCGTGTATCTATATTTTCGGACAATAGTCTAAAAAGTATGAACTTTCAAGATTTGCCATATACATACATGAACTTTTAAATTTCTACAAAAAAATATATATAGACTTTTCAAAAATATTTTCATAAACTCACATCGGTTACAAGACATTTGTAAATTTTATGTAGGTTTACGACAATATTTACAAATTCTATATATTTTGTAGAAATTTCAAAGTGTATTTACATAACTCTTTAAAGTTCATGTTATTTAGACTTTTGTTCCTTATATTTTTTTTCTCTAGTGATGAAAATAATACGAAAGTATATTATAAAAGCAAAATTTGTACGACGTAATAGACAGTATTTTTTTTTTTGCGATGTTAAAGTCCGTTAGTATATTTTGTTTTGGACCGATAACTACAAGAAAATTCTCGTATAGCTACGGAATTTGCGACGGAAAATTCCATCGCATACAAAATTACGACGGAATACGACGGTTTAGCGACGGAATGCGGAAAAAAATTTTACGTCTCAAATAGTCGTAAAATCCGTCGAAAATTTGCGACGGAAATTTTTGGCGCACAAGCTTTCTCTGGGTTGGAGGAAACATTTGTCTGTTCAGTTGATGTAATAGTGATCATGAACCGACAGGAAATGCCTCTTGCCTCTGCTCGGGATGGCGGTGAAAAATGGTCGGATCATATGATCGATAGACCTTCGCCCATCACAAATCTTTCTGTT